TATAACGAGGGTAAATTTAATATAGTTGTCCAAAAAATTCGTTATATAAAAATTCGCTATAGAGAGGTATAACTGTAATACAATGTGATTTTGTAGATCGATTTTTTACTGATCTACTAATAAATTGTACAAAATTGGTATTAATAATTCAATTTCAAATTTTTATTGAATATACTCCAAGGTTTAAGGATTAAAATAAATATAAAACCATATTTCTAGTATTTGTGGTTGATGAATTATGAGTTTTAAAATTAATTAAATTTATATATAATAAATTAACCAATTTTAATATAAAAAATTAATAAAAAACAATTTTTATTAATAAATGCCGCATCCAATTTTCGGGGCGGCATTTTAATATAAAAAATTAATAAAAATCAATTTTTTTATTAATAAATGCTACATCCGACTTTTGGGCGGCATTTTATTATTAAACATTAATTTTTTTAATAATAAATGCCGCCTTCGACTTTTGGAACGGCATTTTATTATTAAAAATTAATTTTATTAATTTTTTAAAAATAAATGTCGCCTTTGACTTTCAGGACGGCATTTTGTTATTAACAATTAATAAAAATTAATTTTTTAATAATAAATGCTGTGTTTGACTTTTGGGTGGCATTTTATTATTAAAAATTAAATTTTTTTAATAATAAATGCCGCGTCTGACTTTGGGGCAGCATTTTTTATTTCAAATCTAACAAATCAGATCTGAATCCAAATCTGAATCCAACAGATCAAATCTGAATTCAAATCTGAATTCGATTCAGATCTGACAGATCAAATCAAATCAAAATCCAGATCCAAATCTGATTCGAATCTGATAAATCTGATTTGATCCGATCTGTCAGATCCAGATCAGATTCGGATTGAATCAGATTTATTGCAGAACACTATGTTTAATGTACTATTTAGGAAATAATCAACAAATTATATCTTAAAAAGTATTTAGCTAATAATTTATATTATATGATATATATCACATGACCTAAAAATAAATCGCCTCAAATTTAAAGCTAGTTTTTTATTTATTTTGATTTTTTAATTTATTCAAAAAAATTTTTTAGTCTCAGAGCCCTATTTTCCTAGCAAACCTCCAATATACTTCATTATTTATTAGTTGATAAATAAAATAATTTTATCATTTTTATTTGTTATTTTATAACAATTATCTTCAGTAAAGTTAATTAATTTTTTTCTATTTTCATCAATATTAATATGTATTAAATATTTTATATCTAATTTCTTAATATTATTTTCATATCTTTTTCTAATTTTTCTTTTCTTTTTTCTTTAGAAGTTATAGGTAAAATATTAGAAATATTCATATTATCAATCTTAATTCTTTTATTTTTATAAAGTAATCTATCAATATTTTCATCTTTAGATTCTTCTTCAAATTCTATTTTTATATTTTCTAAAGGATTAGATAAAAGGGCTATATGATCTGATACTATTCTTGCTTTTATAAGACTAATATACGATTTAGTTTGTTTTGTTTCAATTAATTCAGTAAACATTATATATAATTTAAATTTTTAATTTTTGAAAAATAATTTAATTTGATTTTTAAAAATTTTTTAATTAATATAAGAAAAAAATATATATATAAATATATATATATAAGAATAATAAAAAAAACTATAAAAAGAACAATATAAAAGAATAATAGATCAATTTGTAGATCACCTAGTATATTAATTCTATATAATTGTTTGTGCAATTTCTTTAGTAGATCAATTTAGTGAAACATGTTGATAATTTACTTTACCACATTTTCTTGTTAAAATAATCCTATAACAATACTTTAAAGATACACATAAAATATTACTTGGCCTTGCTAAATAGAAACACAAAAATTAAAAAAATTATTAATCAAACAATTTATTGACTAAAGATGTGACAATTTATCCTCTAATCCTTCTAAAATGATTGATTCCACTTTAAACAGAAAGAAATAATCAATCATCATGGATAGTCTTCTTAATATTCTTAACTCCAATGCTAAACACTTTTCAATAGATTCTACTGAGATTCAAAATGCAGCTATTAATCACTTTCAAAATTATGCCTTCTGACTGAAGCTGAATGATCTCTTAATGAAAAATGAACTAACCACAAGAACACATTGATTCAAATATATATAGTAACTTAATGCAATCTCCTACCTATGATGAATGGATTTTAACTTTACATAGTCTTCTTAACGATAAAGCTGCAAGCTCTTCAGGCATTTCTAATAAAATAATATTTCATCTAAGAAGTAATCTTTAACATTTGCTTTGGCAATTAATTTGTATGTGATTTATACTCAATGAAATCCCTAATGAGTAAAAAATAGCATATATCTACCCTATATCCAAACCAATAGATTAGAATTATGATATTACTAAAACTCGACTAATCACATTTCTTGAAACTGCTCATAAAGATTTTGTAAAGATTCTTAACAATATTAATGATAGACTATCTAAAGTTTTAGCAAAACATAATATATTAAAATGCAGAAACTTTGCAAGTTTAACAGGAAAATCTACTGAACCCCCTATTAAAATCATGAATATGCTTTTAAAGAACTCTATTGAAAATAAAAAAGATATTTGAATTCTTCTTTAGAATCTTTTTAAAGCTTATGATAGAGTAGATTTCAAATTCTTAAAACTTACTTTCTAAAGAATTAAACTTTCTATATTAGCTTCTGATTTTATCATTAATCTCTTCACTGCTCGTAAGAATACAATTTTAACTTCTAATGGAATTTTATCATACTATGATGTTAAAATAGGTATTGAGCAAGATAAAGTCATCTCATTACTCCTTTGGTGTATCTATTTAGACCCTCTATTATGTGAAATTAATTCTCTAAACAAAGATTATACTATCAACCATTTGTGGGTCTCTAATATTATTGATAACTCTACTACTATACTATCAGAATCAGTATCATAATTAGCTTTTATTGATAACACAAATTGGATTACTAGTAACTAATTGGACTTAGAATGCATTTTAAAATAGCTGATGACTTTTATAATCTAACTAGAGCTGTTCTTAATAAAGTTAAATCAAAGTTTATCATCACCAACCTTACTTCATTCTCTTCTATCAATTTTTATTTTGGAACTTCATATATAGATATTAAATTTGAAACAGAATCTGTTCGTTTCTTAGGTATTTGGATCAACAGCCAACATTTACAAATTTTTGTTAAAAATCAAATCAAACAGGACATTAACAAATTTGTTAATTCTATAAAATACAAGCCTCTCACTGACAAACAAATTGCTTATATAATTAATATAGTTCTTTGTCTTCTGCTTGAATATCGCATGCAACTTACCCTCTATCAAAAATGAATATGCATTCTTTTTACCTATAAGATACCTCAAAAAGAAACTTCACTTCTTTTCTACTCTTCCTACGGTTCTTCTACATTTCAAATATTTTTACAACCTTATCACTCTTTGGATATTACAATCCCAATCAATCTCTACCACTATTTTAAACACTAGTCGAAATAGTCCAAATCGGCTATAAATCAGATGGCAGAATTTAGGCTGATTTTGGTACTATTTTCAGCAGGTTTGTTATTTTTCGATTGGCACAATCTACGCCAATAAACCCAAACAGATAATACAAATCGACGCCAATCGATAAAACCATTCAGCATCAATTCGGATTATAAATTCCATCATAAATCAGCTTCAATTTGACCAAATTAATGCCAATCAACTCAATCTGATATAACCATTTGACATCAATTCAGAATATAAATTCCATCATAAATCGGCTTCAATTCAACCAAATAAGTATTATAAAAAATCAGCCAATAGCAATATATTATTTATTAGCAAATATTTAATAATAAAAGCTAATA